TACCTCTGACCTCTCCAGAATTGTGGGTCAGTGCTTCATGGGGAGAAGTGTTTCATTGCTTTTTGGAGATCCCAGTTAAATTCATATTAAAATTCAACAAATACGTCTTTAGTACCTATCATGACCCAAAAATTATTTCAGTGATTAGGATACATCAGTGAATGACATATACAAAGATGCCTGCCTTTATGGAACTTAACAATAGATAGATAATTAATATGTAATTTATATGGTATCTTAGAAGATGGTATGGTATCTTCTAACTTACATGCTAGGAAAAGAGACTGAAGTTAAGGGGATAAGAAACTCAAAAGGAGGGACAAAAGGGTTGCAGTCTTGATCATATTTAATTGCTAAGTGTCCCATTTGTGGTTCCCTTGAATTGGGTGAAAGCATATTCTCTCATTGGTTGCTCACAAATCTTTCCTAAGTACACCTCACACTTCTATATTCTGCTGGAATCCCTACCCTCCAGATGCCTTCTTGAGCAATTAAGAGAAGACTCTCACATGGCATCCACATTCAGCCTACGGGCCAGCTCAAGTGCTCTTTGCCCCAACAGACACTGGAAGGATAGAATATCTCCAGTGTGGCAACTGGCTTGTCATGGAGAAGCTAGCGGGATAGTCCCTTATCACAAATGAGCCACATGTCAGACCTCTGTGTCCCCAAAGTTCCAAGGGATACAAACTGAAATTTCTGAGTGATATCTCTTAAGCCTCTTTCCTTAGGCTTGACATGAGAGAAAAGCACTCTCACTCCTCTGCCACAATACAGCTTTTCCAAAAACCTCTTCTATTTCCAACTTACCCTAACTTATATGCGATTGGGTAAGATACTAACTGGTTTTCTTCCAACTGCTTTGTACATGGCAGTGTTGTAGCTTACTTAAAGCATGGAACTTGTTACTGGTATCTATTATCTTGGGGTCGTAGCTCTTACTGTATGTTCCATTTTAACATCTAAGATAAGTGTTGATGAGCTATTACTAAGTTTGTGGGTCTCACAGAGATATCCAGTTAGGAATGTAGCCCAAAGCTCAGGAAAAATATTGGGAGTGGATATGTATCAGCATGTTGATAACCGTTAATAAATAGTTTTCATGAAATCTTTTTTCTTCTCTTTACATACAACTATATATTTTTTCTCTCTTACTAAATCTCATAAGTGATTCTTCAAGTATAAATCACATATTGACAGGCTTTCAGAAAGATGGTGACAGGCCATATGTTTACACTCTCCAAGCCACAGAAATTAACAAAAAAAAGAAGAAAAAATTAGTTTTATTGAAACTAAGAATAATAGCAATGTCATGCCACAAACCTAAAGAATATTGTCCAGAAATAATATATAAGAAGCAGTAAAATGTATACCAAACCAAAAGAAGGCACTGGAAGCTGAAAGCTTGTGAACACTATTCAGTGAGTCAAGCAGAAATAGGGGATATGAATAAGTCTGAAAAGACCTGTACATTTCTCCTGGGTTGGGGTGGAGGGCAAAATTTAGAAGCGCTGGCTGTTTGGCAGGGATAGAAAGCTCTCCACCTGAGGTATAGGTTGAAGATGGCCACAGATCCAGAGGGGTCTAGAGGAGACACTGAGGCCAAGCAGTTGCTAAGGAGGATCCTTTTAGCTAGCAGCAACACTTCTTTTTCTCAGAGGCACCTTGGAAAGTGGTCAGAGAAAAATAAACGGAAAAATTCGAAACCTCATCCAGAGAGAGCCTTGTCTGCAGAGTTGTTGGCCATGGCATTATCCTCCAGGGTTGTCTTTGTGAAAAAGCACACGGTAAATTGAGACTTTGAATTCCACAGTGGGGCTTAAAATCCCCTATATAGTTGGTAGACAGTTATGGGTGTCTTCAGAATACAAAGAGAGGCCAAAACAGTTAACAAGGGATATTACAAATACTCTAAATCTTCATTTATGAATATTAGCCTGTGAACTAACGGAAAATGGAAAATTGTCAGTTACATGGGAAATGTAAGAAAACAGGAGAGTCAGGCAGGTAAAATAGACAAAATGCCTCCAATGAAAGAGTTAACATAGACTATGTAATTACACTTTAAAAAATTATAATTAGTATACTTAGTGAGATTCTAAAAACCTGTTAAATAGTATTGGAGGGTTAAAAAGGCTAAAAGGGAATATGGGAGTAACACAGAGGTTGTAACTACAAGAAGCTACACCCCAACACTGGCTGGGAGATCAACAAAAAGAGGTTAGGATTTTCGATATTTCATACCATACAAGAGGTGCCCTTTGGAGTTGAGATTCAGACCTGGGAGAAGGGACTGTGACTTGACCACCTCTGAGGAGATGCTGTGAGCCTGGTTCTGGCAGTGTTGGGGAGAAACTAGAAACAGGATCTAAGTACTTCCACAGGAGTGAAAAGCCATTGATTAGGTGAGGCTTAAAAAAACAGATGCAAAACACAGGAGAGGCAATTCGCTTCTCCTCCTCTAGGCTTCCTATCTCCTCTTGTACCCACTATTAACAGAGCCTAACTATGAGCATCAGAGAGCTGGCAAAAGAGACGTTTAATTGCTGAGTCCTGGCCTCACATCACAAAGCAGAAAATAGAGCTTGAATTTGGAGCTGAGAGACAAGAGCTTAGTGTCTCAAGTGGCCTTAAGTGCTAGAAGACATTGAAACAGCACTTACAGGGCTTTCCTGTCAAGATGGTGGAGCAGGTAAACACTGCTTTCCTCCTCTCACAACCACATTAAAATTACAACTAAACTACAGAACAGCCACCATTGAGAATCACCTGAAGTCTAGCTGAACTGAAGCCCTACTTCTAAGGACATACAGAAGAAGCCACCTCGAGACTGGTAAGCAGGGCAGAGATGTAGAATGGTATGACCATTATAAATTGGAAGACATATCTCAGCTGCAACAGTCTCCCTGGGAGGAACAAGGAATCCTAACCTCACATTAAGCTTCCTAGCCCAGGGTTCCAGTGACAGGGAAAGAAGTCCCCATAACTTCTGGCTGTAAGAACCAGCAGAGATTGTGGCTGAGTGAGATGGAGGGTGGCTAGGGTCCCAGGTGCTCCTCTTAAAGGGTCCACGCACAGACTTACTCTCTGATGGACTCACTCACTCTGAGCTCAGCACTGGGGCAATAGCTCAAAAGGTGCCAGGGACATATGGGGACAAACTGAGATGTCTGGCTTCAGGTTGAGGGCTGGAGGGGAATCTTTCTCCCAGACAGAAGTGCTGGCCGAATCTATTGTACCTTTGTTGAGCCCTCCTCTGTCCCAGTGTTCAGACATGGGTGCCATCATATCTGAATCTCCATCAACGTGGCTAACACCATTTGATAGCCCCACCCTGGTGATTTGATGAGACCCCACTCCCACCCAACTTTCTAGCACACCCAAGGCATTTCCACTGGCTTTTCCATAGAAACAGCCCATCTTGGTTCATGCTGAGGACTTTCCTAAAATTTCTTAAAGGTTCACAAACTCCAAACAAGCAGCATCTGGCCTTGGTGTGCCCCATACCTCTTGCTGAGCAGCCCTAAGCCCACTAGAGGCAGCTGGATTNAAATCTCTGTGGTGTTCAGGCAGGGCCACCTGTCACACAAGCATAGAGGCTTCCGATCTTAACTTCTCCATCATGCATAAACATTTAGCAAGGAAATCCACCTGGCCTGTATGTAGCATTTAGTGCTTTTAGTGAGAACACAGAGGCATGGAGATTTTGAGAAGGTAACGTAAGTCCAAACTGCTTCAAACTTTAGAAGTACTGCTGCTCAAAGGTATAATAGCTTGAGTTTTTTTTTGTTTGTTTTTTTTTTCCTTGAGACATTGGGTGGCTCTATTTTTGTAAGCAATAGTTCGCTATTGACACTGGGCAGCTTTCATGCTTAGACAAATTGCCTTACATTCCTAGCCAGTAAAGGCACTGTCATTAATAGCAAATGTATAGAATCCAAACCTCTCTCTGAATTGCTTTGATTTTTCACTTGGGGGGGTGGGTCGGGGGGGGTCGGGCAGAGAATTAAACCTTAAATGCGCTTACACACTGTAGCTCTACAAAACAAAGAAGAAACAAAACCTTCAAAATAACTACAAACTTTGCAGCCAGTGTGTGATGTTAATACAAGGGGAAAAAGTGAATAAGTGATACCTTGGGAGCTACGGGATTTCCTGATTTTTGCACTGAAATTCTGATGAGAAACGAGTTGAATTGAAGGTTTAGTTAACATGTTAATTTCCTAATCCAAATCAGTAAGTGAGTAGTGGGCAGGGCTAGCATTTACCTGGTCTTGATGGCTCTCAGAATTTGCAAGATTTGAGGGAGTTCTAGCAGCCGCAACGCTCTTAAGAACCTCAAACCTACAAAGCAATTGAAAGGAGAAAGCTGCCAAAAGAGAGCGTTACTCCAGGGATTGGTCTGAATTATAACACATTTGGGACTGCTTATAATCTTTCTCTTCCTGAAATGCTCAAATATAATATATTATATTATAATATCATAGGTTAAATAGCATGTGCTCTACTTCAAATCTGGGTTCTGACACTTAATAGCAGTTGTAATCTAAAGCAATCCCTTCAACTTCTCTAGTTCCTCATCTGTAAAATGGGAACTATAATAGTACCTACCTCATAAAGTTGTTGAGATAACATATAGCATATCATAAGCACTACTGACATTTTACACTTCGTTGACCCTTCTTTAGAATGGAGAGCAAATTATCCATAAACCACTTAAACTCCTGACTATAGAATTTCTATGATGTGCTCCTCAGTGTTTGTATGATGCTTTATATTATGTAGTTAGATAATAACAATGGCAAGGAATATATTGTAGATTATAAATAACAATATAAAACTACATAAAAACTGGGCCGGCCGAGTGGCGCGATGGTTAAGAACTCGCTTGGGATGCCAGAGAGCCCCGGTTCGGATCCCACATGTGAGGGCCAGTGACACTGGCCTCTGCAGCTGGGATGCTGGGCAACAGCTCAACCTGGAGCTGGGCTGCCATGAGTCGCCGGCGATGGCGTGGGCTGCAGTCCCTGTGGCAGTGGATTGCCATGGGCTACTGTGTGTAGCCAGCAGCCAGCGTGAGCGGCCAGCAGCCNGATGAGCCATAATTTTGATTCTAAATATTCTAGCCATCACAGCAACAGAGAAACATAGTTTATTATACAATTAACAGCATACCCACTACTCCCCCCCCCCCCCCCCCGACAAAAAAAAAAAAAAAAAGAACAGATTGCTTAGGTTTAGGATGATATTTGGAACTAAATTAAGAAGAAAATCTCCCACAGATAATTGTAAAACCATACCTTGTGATAATGAAAACAAAAAGCCCATAGAGGTGATTAATACTTTGCCATGTTCGAATCTATAGAAGGTATTCTGTTTTAAGATAATATTTTTTTCCCCTTCGATTATTGGAATTTTCCTTGTGCTCCTTATTTTCCATCTTTTTTTCCCCTCCTTTTTCTATTTGCCTTTTTCACCTTCCTCTCCTCCTGTCCCTCCCCCTTACTTTTCTTCTTCTTCCATTATTAGGTGGTTGTCCACCTTAATACTCCCCCAGAGCATTAAGGATATATTTAGTCTGTAGATATTTTTGATTTGCTATCTTTTAAGGTTTGCATATAGATACAGTGTGTGCCTTCATTGAAAATAATAAGTGATTGTTTTCTTTCTTTTATTTTCTATGTCCTGGGACTGTTTAATTAATTAGCATTAGAGAAAGCCACTCATTGAAGATTTGGTTCACTAGACCTTGCCATAGGAGGAGGAGGTGATTCTGGTGATGATAATATAGGTCTTTGACAACATCTTTAATTCTTCTAAATATTTGGTTTGTTTAAGTTTCTTTCTTTTATGGTCAGTTTTGGTCATTTATATTGTCTTAATGAATCATCCGTTTTTCAAATTTAATTGCAAACTTATCTTTCAAATTCCTTTTTATTTGTACTTATTTTTTATTTTAATGTCTTATTTCCTGTGTATTTGTTTTTTTCCCTCTTATCCTTGGTTAGACTAGCTATTTATTGATTTCTCTAGTTTAAAGTTTGTTTAAAATAATCATCAGCTGTTTTATAATTCATTAATTTCTGATTCTCTTTTTATATTTACTCTGCTTAAATTTAATGTGTTTTACTTCTCTCACTTTTTGAGATTGATAGTTAATTCATGTATTTTAATTTTTATGCAAATAAGTTCTTATTGTTATGCATTTAACCCAGAATCACTCCTATCTTATACTTTAGATGTAGGTGAAAAGTGGTGTTTTCATTATCTTTACACTTTAAATATACTGCAATTGTTATTTGATTCCTCTGAGTTAAGAATCATTAAAGAGAAAAATTTTTTAAATTCTTAGCTGTAAGATCTTTGTTTTCCATTCGTTTTTTTCCCCCTGAGTTTATTTATTATTTTCACCTATTCATTGCACTCTGTTAGTTAATGTCATCTGTCTGTACTTTGTATGTTTTACAATTGGGATTTTTTTGTGGCCTAATATATGCTGAATTTTTACAAATATTCCGTAGACACTTGTAAGTTTAATTTCTGTTTTCAGCATATGGAGTTTAATAATTTCAATCAGCTCTCATTAATTAAGCTACTGTGGTCTTATTTATGATTATGATTATTTTTTTTTCTATTTAGTATGTCCTGATATGAGATAAGCAAACAAAAAGCTCCTACTACCTATGTGTTTTCAGTATATTTTTATTTCTTATATTTTTCATTTATTAATTATTTTGAAGTTACATTTTTGATACAGTGGTATTCATGATGTCATATGTTGGTTGAGGTTGGTTATATTTATCATTACAATGGTTATGTGTTGAATTGTGTCCCCCAAAAGGATATGTTGAAGTCCTAAAACTCAGTACCTCAGAAAGTGATCATGTTTGGAAATAGGGCCTTTGCAGATGTATTCAAGTTAAGAAAAGGTCATGAGGATGGGCTCTGATCCAGTAAGACTGGTGTCCTTATAAAAAAAGGAAATTTGGTAGATGGCATAAGTTCTCTTCTGCCTCACCTCAGTGACTTTAATACATTATTTCCAGTATTATCTTCATACAGTCAAACATGATTTGAACATTTGAAGAGATGATAACCAAGAAATCCCTGTTATAATCAGAAAGAATCACAAATCTTTCTCTAACAGGTCATACTGACAGGGATTTCAGAAAAAAGAGCAAAACTTTAGAAAGAAGAGAAAGGAGAGGCACATTTCCAGATGGGTCAACATCCCCTGCAGATTTTATCAAAGCAATTTTACTTACATACTTCCAAATACGTTTTAAAAATTAATTATATCTGAATTAAACGACAATTAGAAAAGAGCAATGTTTTCACTAATTAACAGAAAAGCAGAGGATAAACTCTAGCTCACATGTCTACTTCCATCATACCACCATCTGATGGCAGTATACTCTCAAATTACAGATTCCGATTTTTTTAATTTTTCAGCTCAAACTATACTACTGAAATGATGATCAGTGCAATATTCATTTATAGAGCATCTGCTATTTCCAGACAATGGGATATAAAAATTTCCATGGCATAATCTATTCTCTGAAGGAACTCACAGTACACTGGGGAGAGAGGCATATGCATAGATAATTTTAATAACAGTGTTCGATGCATATTATAGAAACTTAGACTGACGTTTTAGCCTAATATGGAGATAAAGTAAGATTTCCCCAAGGACGTGATGTCTGGATTGAGTTTTAATACATCCAAGTTACCCAGATTAAAACAGAAAGTAAAATGATAAATATCATAGAAAGGCAAAAAAAGATTAGTTTGTATAATGAAGAAATAAAGGAGGTTAAAATAGCTGTGCATTTCAGGCCAGATAATCCACCACCCATCAACATTTCTTGGACATTTACTATATGCCAGACACCCATACAAGGAGAACAAAATGCATACCACCTTTGCCCTAATAAAGCTTTTCTTCTGGAAGATAGGCTGACAATAAATATAAAATATAAGGCCAAGTAATAATATTCACTCCAAAGAAAAAGCAAGCAAAATAATGGATAGAGAGGGTAGACACGGAGACAGTGGTTGGGAGGTGGTGATATTTTAGATAAGGCCACCAGGGAACATTAGATGCTTACCTGGTGATAAAATTATATTTGCTGACTATAATCATGCTCATGGCTAAAGTTTGTTAGCAAGGTGACAATGAAAATATACTTACCAACACTTGCCCGACAAATGTCTGTGCTGAAAGCAGCATTTCTATACGGTCACGAAATACTCCATGGAGGTGGAGACTTTTAAAATGTTTATTAATGGTGATCTTTGACAAGATTAGTTTCTAGAAGCAACAGAAAGAAATTGAGTGTGAGCTGGATCTCAGAGAAAGCAATCTGATTTATATTTGTTGATAAATCCTCCTACTGTGGCATCAGCCCCAAATCACTCCACTTGGTCTAACCAAGGGAACCCTGAAGTTGCTCATTCTGTATTTCATGAGATGAATTTTACTGGGTTTGCATTTTACTGGTCTTCTGCACAGCTTTTTAACTCTGAATTCTACAGTCTTCATCACGCCTTTCTCATGTACTCTTAGTCCCAGACCCTTCAAAATGACATTATTGTAATGATCAGGATGCTTTTTTTCTGCTCTGGGAACAGCTGTCTTATGCTTTTACTGTCAAGATACGTGAACAAAGAAAAAATATTACAAATTGATTTTTAGGTGATTACTTAACATTTTTAGATGATTACTTTTCTGAGAGAAAAAGAAGAAGGGAAGTTTTAACAACTTGATGTTGCTTTTTAGTTCCTATCTGGTATCATATCCTGCTGAAATTATAATCCTTCCTCATATTTACAGAATGCCTTTACTTCTTATAGTTGAAATTTATAATAATACTATGATGTAGATAAAGTATGATTAAATCCATTTTATATTGATAAGGAAACCGAGGTATAGAGAAATTAAATGACTTGCCCATGAACAAGCAATCAGGAAAGGCTGGAGTCTAAACTAACCTCCATGTCTGGTGATGGTCTTGAATTACCACTGAGAAAGATGTGAGCAAGTTAGGACTGACCACCTCATGTTGACTGGACCCTCTGAGTTTTAGAAAAGCTCATTTTATGTGGGGCCAGGGTTTTGAAATGACTTAATTTTCTACTCATATTTTCTGAGCAGAAGAGAAGTCTCATTAAATGACTATTTATAGAGTTCTTATGTTGATCAATGATTTGCCCTCTGACATCTATGACTCATCATGTGCATTCTGGGAATGTTGTTTGAGAATTGATGTTTTTAAATATTCAATAAGACATGAATATAGGACACTCATTTGAATTTCATTATAAAATTGATAGTGCCTTCTGTGGAAAAACAAATTGGCCCTAAGATGTAATAAAATCATATTATAAATGTAGTAAACCTTTAAAAAATGAACATTTAAGGAGAAAATTATGACTCTCTCCAAATAATTTTTAAAAGAACTTTTGACAGTACCCAGATTTGTGACATTTTTGTATTAGGTCAACGTTCCCAAAGGCTTAGAGAAAAGTACAGCGCTCTCAATTTACATTAATACAAAAAATTGTTGAGAAGTCGCTCAACTTTTATCAAAGTCCTCAAGATTCTAGAGCAGAACAGTATAGCATTATGGTTGCTTGGACCCCATTTCTTAACAGTTTGTAACATTTGTCTCCTATTTGAAATTAAAAGGTACCTCTGGACTGAAGGGTAGACATGAATTACCTCCAAAGAAAAATGCGAAAAACACAGCAACTAATTGTGGACAAATGGGTTTTCACATTTTTGTAACCACACACAAATGAATGAAACGGGAAGAAGATACATTTCCGGGAGTGGAAGCATAAGAAGATTAAATAATTCTGCCGATTCAGCTGTGCATTGAAAAAACGAAAGGAGGCAGATTCACCATACCCATTTGTGTATTCAGTATTAAGAAGTCAATACCCTAGAATTCTTTCCCCAATTTTTATGTCACTGATTAAACTCTTTAATCTACTCATAGAAATAACTAGTAACAGAGTGAACTCATTTAGGAACAAAATCTATAACTTTAATGTTGGGTATCTCTGGAAAGCAGAAACCAGAATTCCATATTATGAGATTGCCCATGACCTTAAAAAGTTAGTAAGTTATTATAAATTCTGTTATTTTATGTCAGTGTTTAACATTAAGAGACATTTTAAAGCAACTTTTCAATATTAATTATAATACACAGGTGAAATGTGTTCTGTTATGGAAACTAACTATAGTCTATCAGAGAAATAAACAAAGTTTGGGAAACAAAACACACAAGACATAATATAACTCTTTGCCTTGGACCACCCGTAACAGAATAGCCATTATGTACTCATAGCATTTGAGAGTTTTATTTGAAGCACTAAAGCAAAGTCTTATTTGGGTAATATACTACTGTTCTTGTCATCATCATTTGCCAGGTGTTATTCAATGGCACCCACTTTTGAAAAGCTTGTTTCAGCATGAAAAGTGTCTCTGCATTCGAGGCTGGATTGCAAGTGCGTGTATACATGGGTTTCCATGTGTAGGCATGTGCACCTCAGAGTGTTGTGTTCACATGGTATACGGAAGGCAGTGTACACATGTGAACACATATTCACGCGCATTGGATTTATGAAAGTGACTTTGGTGTCCCTTTTTGCCTCCCTCATAGGACTTAGTGCAATTGTCATTTTAAAATTCAAAATAGAAGCATAGACATAATGATTGTGGGGTTTTTTTTTTTGAAGTGACCTCTGTTTCCAGAGCTAACATACATCATCAGCCATACAAGACATTTCTTCTCCAAGTGGTAGGAGAGGAGGCCAGACCCTGTACCTGAGGCCTGTTTTTCACCCAAGCATGATCAGCCCCTTTCTAAGGCACCAGATCAGAGTGGCTGGCTCGATTAGCCTATGAAAGCTGAGTGAAGCCTTAATTGTTTTGTAAACACAAGCACATGTCAAACCTGTCTCAGCTTCATACAGTAGGATTGCAAATAAGGAAACTGACCAGGAGAAATCCTGTTCCCTTGATGTTTTGCCATTTTTTTATGGCCCTCCACGTTAACCTGAAAATGAACAAGATGAGAAGTCCGCTGAAGAAGGTCACGAAGGAGGAAAGAATAAATGCGGCCTGGACCTCAGTTGTACACGACGTTTTGACCAGGCCTTCCCCATTATCATTGTGTGACTTGCTTGGAAACATCAGGAAACCGAATGGTCAGAATTCTATGATGTCATGATCACGTGGTAATGATTCCAGGAATTAAGAGTTCAGTGTACTACAGAGTCCTAATGACGGGTACAATAACAATGAGTGGTTCTAAGAACAGGGTTCAGCTAACCACCAAGATGTTGACTCATAGGATGGAAATGAATAAAAAGAGGGAGAAGGTGAGGGTCCACAACACGGATCTTCAGAAGACATGGATTCTAGATCTGATTCTGTTACTTACGTTCTCTATGATCTTGAGGAAATGCCATCCTTTGTGGCTATGGTCAGTGGGCTATCTATTTAGTTTGTGCAGTCAAACAATTTCAGAGCAACTCTTTTTGAGTGAAATGATAGCCAGCCATCTGTGTGCCAATGAGTTGGTTCTTCATTTGAGCGAATGCCACATTCTCAGTAAACTTGGAAGGACAGATGAGAGGAGAACGCCAAGATATTTCTAGAAGATGTTTCCTAGAACTGCTGCCACAGTTATATTTCCTTCCCTTAAGCTTACCTATACTCTCCACCAAATCTTGTCATTAAGCTAGCTAACTTGCACAGGGCAGTGTCTAGGAGTTAGAAGCCCTGTGTTGCAGCTCTTTTATTAAGTTAACTGTGTGACATTTAATAAATCACTTTATTTTTCATAGTCTTATTTTGTGTTGAAGATAACACCTACTTGATAGATGTATTGTGGGATTCAATTAGGTAGTCTGATCATATATTGAAAAGCATAAAACTGAATATAAGAAAACCTATTTCAGTTCCTTTTCTGAATGGTGTTGATTATATTAAAAAAAAAGTAGGGAGAGGGGGGAATGAGGGAGGAATGAATTATTTGTTTATAACACACACACACACACACACACACACACACACCCTATAGCTATTTGGAAAATAAGATCACAGTTTCCATGTCAAAGTTCATTCACATCATTTACTTAGTCTGATTGCTCTTAAGTAATTACTGAGCTATCATCATCAATGAAAAGTTCTAATTTTCCTAACTTTCGCTATTTAATATTGTCAAAGTATTACCAATTCTTTCCAAGGTGCTGCCTAGGTACCTTTTCCCTTTTCCCAGAAATTAACCCATGAGAACAAAAATTGAGTTTAATTAATTCAATTTAAACAGTCAGGTAGTTTGCCTCTCTAATACCCTGTTATTGTGATGATAATAATATCATTAGCTTCTGTGGATGAGTAAAAAATGTGCAGATAGTTTCAAAGTCAGTCTCTCCAAATTCATGTTGAACCTGGGCTGTCCAGCCATCCAGTTTCCCTGGGCCTGGACCAGGTTCAGTCCTGCAAGTCTGATGCCCTGGGAAACTCCTCAGTCCTGGGCAAACTGGGAGAGTTGGTCACATGCACCCAGTGCTCCCTCATCTACATTATGCTGGGGCCACACTGCCACCACTTAGCTACAAGAACATGCAAAGCCTTTTCTTTCTCTAGGCTTTCACAGTACATTTTTTCAATGCCTGGAATACTCACATCTCTAGCAGCTGCTATGTTCAGGTCTCCATTTAAATGTCCCATCATGCCCTCCTGACAAGCCTACAGAAAGGAGGGCCCTGTCACATGCCCCAGGACTCTCTGTTATGACATTCTGACCCTTGCCTTCACAGCACTCATAGCAGTTATAATTGTAATTATGTTATTTCCTTGTTGCCTAGTTTATTTGCCATCTTCCCTCACAAGAACATAAGCTCCATAAACTTAGGGATCATACCTGTTGCATTCATCCCTGAGTACCCAGTGTCTGGTCAAATACCTGGCCCATGCCTGGAAAAATCACAGGAACTTAATAATTCAGTGTTCAGAACTTAGGAGCTAGACAACTTTGAAGCAACATTACCCTTCACAATAACTAAAAAAGGACTCTTCTTGTACTTGATAGTTTAAAAAAATAAAAA